TTTTTTTATTAAAGTAATTTGGAATTGTAATTGCAGCAAAATTGTTATAGGAATTGTAATTTGTAATTATATTATTTGAACTATCGAATTACAAATTACTTCTATAAGTACAAATACTTTTTCCAATTACAATTACTTTTTCTAATAATTATAATTACTTTTAAGATCATGCGTATTGCGTAATTGCGTACAGACTTGCAGACTTCTATTATTTCATTTGAGGAAAGCCTTGTGCCGCGTGAACAATAAAAAGTGATTTGGTGAATTAACCTCAGAATTAACAGAGTACATTTTATTTTATTATAATTATTATTAATTTAGAAAATATACGAAGTAAAAATATGTTGTCTATAGCATCAAGTTTTATAAAAATATATATTATGTATCTATGTGTTACTGCTCTTATTTTGAGTTGAGAAAACTTCTGGTTCGGTTACTCAGCCTTTCACTCGTACTTGTTCGATTCGTAATTTTTTTAATAATAATTATTGCTTTCCAGTCTACCCAAAACTACTGTATTCTATATTTTGCAAATGTACTAACAACCAAAAAAAAAGAGCATCGGGTTGAATGAATTACCTGACCAATAATATAAAATTATAGTATGAACTGAACTAGTTTAAATTAATAGATTAGGAATAAAAATATAAAAATTCTATATCAGAAAATGAATAAGAATAATCTTTTCATTTTAGTATCAATTCTAATAAATAATAAAACGCAATATTACATAACACTTTTAATTAAAATTTTTAACTTAACTTTTTACTTTTTCTCTGTTTGGTCACTATAATTTACTTTATCATAAAAAGTAATTAGAAAAGTAATTGCTAAATCCATTTTCCATGTAACTGTAATTAAATTAATATAATTCCTTTTTTAAAGAATATACTTTGTAATTGTAATTAGTTCCTTTTTTTAAAAAGTAATTTGTAATTGTAACTATTTTTAAATTACAAGTAATTACCCAGCTCTGATGGATACAACATCCCGTGTACATGTGGAAAAGTATACATTAGACAAACAGGTTAAATTGGTGTAAATGTCAATAATAACAATACAATAAAATTAACAGTTGGGAGCTATTAATAAGAGCGAACATTTTAGCCCAAACTCTACAAGGAAGCAATAGAAAACTGGAATACTCTATATTTCAATCGAGATGCAAAAATCGAGAACTCAACACACAGAAAATATAAATGCCAGCTAGAAAATCGTCAATTTCAGAATTCATTCTAAAGAAGATATATATCTCGAAAATATCAAAAAGTCGAAACCGACGACGCCGACGTGGCAACCAATAAGGAAGTTGTTAAACTATTGAAACTGCTACGGAAGTCGACAAATCAAAGTTGGTACATGATATTCCTTGAAACGAATAAAACGACTTCTGATTACCGAGGTATGTCACCATCATTATGTATTTTTCCTTAATAGGTTCATCTACACGAGTTATGAGCAAAAGGCTATTCGATATATTTTAATTTCGACGATGACACTCGCCTGAGGGATAATTTTACACTTACATGCACGTCAAAATACAGAACCTTTATAAATGATTGCAAGCCACGTGACCAGTAATTTTATTTGGAACAGTAATTGTATATCCTTCACGTTAGCAATTACATTTTGTTAAAATTTAAATAATAAGATCAAGATTACATTAAAACACAACATTCTGTTTTACTGGCTGTGATTGGTGTAATATTTTACGCGATTCTAACGGTTTGTCATTGTTCATTGTAAACGAATCATTAATACTGGCGAATCCAAGATTTGGGGATTTTTTGTTACCAGTATCAGCCCTGCAATGTTGGTCGCTTAAGCTCGGCGGTCACATGACTTGTAAACATTTATGAAGGCTCTGTAGTATAAGGTAAGTATTAAACAAAACAAATTTTCGAAATCGCACTTAATAATGTAATCTTTGTAACACTCAGAAATTTCTTGACACGTTACGTATATATTATATGCTCTTATTCTAGTTTTACCTGGGACAGGAGTGCGTCACATGCCATCAACTCCTTCTTAGACAATTTCTCCACAACTGCAGCTGCATAACAGTCTCCTAACATGTTATTAGTGGTCCGAAACCTATCACTTGAAAGATAAAATATTTTAAACAGTTTCATTAGTACAAAATTATTATTTTCTTAAAAGATTGATTCAGTGATAGAAAAAACACCATCTTGGAGATATGGTAATTTTTTTATAATAATGTAACTTCAGTTTGTTTACCAGTCACCAACGAATGGGCCATACTTCAAAGGTAGCTTCAATTAAATAAAAATAAACCCATTTAAATCAAGTTATCTTACAATTAGCACAATCGTGACCTTAAAAGGTCACAGATCTTCAAAATTTGTTTATTTTTCTTTTTCCAAATATATATCTTCTTAATTTTTAAAGATATGTAGATACGTATTTAAAAAAAAAATCGTTTTAGCGGGTTTTTAAAGTAACCAAATATTATATACTTTATAGGTATAAAATTATTTATTACCTAAATTATAGTAGCCCTTTTTTCAGCTCTATTTCTGTTGGTAAAAATCTTGAGGAAAGGCAGATTTTTTAAACGTCGTTTTATTTACTTTTAAAAGAGATATGATGGCCATTAAAACGCATCCGTTCAAGAGAAAAAGTAAATCTCAATCCAAAGTTCACCCTTTTTGTAAATCTGTGATCGTAAAGAATACACTACTAACAATAAGTTTGATTAGATGCAATAAAATAATTTGACAATTTTTAGTTATCTTAAAAATATGATCATAGTGTTAATTTAGGAAAAAATCAGTTAGAAGCCATATTTCGGCAAGTTTTCACCCAATTAGTGGATTTTCTGAGAAACATCGAGGCCATGGGTAAGTTTTACTAATGACATCGTGTTCAATGCTTCAAAATACTACAAAAAAGATATATTTGGACAAGATTTAGAGAAAAAAAAAACAGTTTTGACACATTTTTGGGCCAGGTTTCATCCAAAAATTTAACTGTTCTCCGAAATTCATTGGGAAGTCATGAATTTTGAATACAGGCTCGTGTTCAGCGCATCGAAGTCCTTCAGAAATGATATATGGCTCTCTCGGGTTTGGACTTTTTTTGTGTGCCTGTGTTTTACGTACAGTTTTACTTATATTTAATTTGATGGCATTTAGAATATATCGTATTGAAACTGATGGTAGTTCTGGGACCGGCAGATATTAAAAACACATGTTGTGTCATTGCTACTGCCAGTTATCAGTTTCTAACGACACATAAGAATAATAGGAATTTACGAAAATTATCTCTGGGTATTCAGATTGGTATCTTTGTTATTCTTACACCCGTTGCACACATGCCGGAACCGGCTAGCCGGATCCGGTTACCCGGCAGCAAGGTGTACAGAGTCTTATGGCAGCTTTCACACGTGATGGAAGGAGCTATCCGGCGAACGGCCGCCGGGTTGTTGCCGGTCGCCACCACTGCCAGCCCTGCTGCCGTGTACCGGCTATCCGGTTACCGAAGTGGTAGTAGTGCATAGTTTTGTATTGACGCTTTCACACTTGCCGGGTGCTTGCCGGGTTCAGTCGTCCGGTTTCATTGAAAAACACAGGACGTGTCAATTATTTTTTTAAATATTTGTATGCAACTATGTCGAATGTTAATTTTGTTCGCTAGAAGTAGATATAGCATTCTTTATATCACTGCTTGAATCCAGACCTGTCCAGTGGGACAAAACTTTAGCCTTTTCATATTTTTTTGATATTTTTCATATTTTTTGTTTTTTTATTGCGATGACATCGGCAATAGCCAAGCCACATAATTGCAATGCGTCTACGATCCATCTCTTGTCGTGATAAAAATGCAACTGAGACTAATATCGTCCAAACCAGTTTGAAAATTAATTTACGTGTGAAAGAGCCAGCCGGATCCGGATAGCCGGATCCGGTTAGCCGATCCGGCTAGTGTGCAACGAGGCTTATGGTTTTAGAAGAAAGTAAATTTAAATTTAGATCACTACAAGTTAATTCATAAACCTTTATCGTGTAAACTTCTAAATAATGTAATGTAATAGACAATTGTACAAAACTTGTTGCGGCAAGTATTGATGTTGCTTAAGTATATAATAATAATTAAACACAACTTACACCAACCAGTCGACAGCGAATAATAATGATACGTCCTGAACAGGTGTGTTGATGGCAGAAAGCACCATCAAAAGTAGCACCAGTGCAGCACTAGGCACACTTGCAGACGAAAATGACGCAGCTGTGGAAGTAAAACTGGAACAATTAAATTAAACTACTTTCGATGCCGTACCTACATAAAATGATTAGTAAAAGTAGGAAGTTCTTGATTGGTATACGGGTAACTTAACACTAAAGGCTAGAGACAGCAACCCACTTTGCTTCGAGGCTTCCCGTAGCTAGCGCATTTCTTATGTGACGTAGCCCGAGATAACTTTAATGAAATAATTTTTACGATTTAGACCATTTTGTACGTTTTAAATACACAAATTTAATCTAAACGAACTTATCAGTTATTTTTTTTTATTAATAATTATGAAAGCCTCGAACCGAAGTGGATAGCTGGCTCTAGACACTTTTTATCTGGACACCAACATTTGAGACGAAAAGATTAGTATTAGTACATACCAAACAGTAACGATTTCTCCTATTCTTAAGGTAATCCCATTCATTTGAGCAATGAAAATCGAGGCTATCGCTATAAACATAGCAGTTCCATCCATGTTTATATTGCAGCCGATGGGGAGAACGAATCTTGTTATCCTGGGGTCCACTTTGACTTTCTCATCCATTAAAGTAAAAGTTACCGGAAGTGCAGCTGCAGTGGATGCTGTTGCGAAAGCAGTCAGGGTTCCTAATAAAATGCTTGTTAATAACAATAATAACTAGATAATAAAGTTATGGAATTCATTGCTGTCAAAGTGTAACATTCAATACTGCTGAATATGGCTTCAAAGTTTGTAGTAAGTTTTGTGAAATGGTCTTGCGACCAAAATTTCTTCGTCAAATATCTTTTTGATGAGATGTTTGAATAATATTTTTGATTTTAATTTCTACACTATTGCAAATAGAAACGAAGACTTCTATAACCTACGTTTATATAATTTTTTTCTCTTAGAATGAGATATTCGATTGTTAGAGTTAAACTATATAAACTCGACTCGCCGTGTATGTTTTTGGAAAGTGCAGGACACGTTTTGAATTAGACCATTGCCACAATGGCTTCCATTTGAAATAATGTAATTTTAATCTGTAGCTCGAGGATTGTTTGAGATTTTAAAAAATTTGGTAACCGTTGGAATCTATATAAAAAAGAAACTATAAAATAATGTCAACACTTCAAAAAAAATATGACAGTACATGAATCATTCAGAATACAAAAATTTAAATTTTTTGGCAAGATCTTCAAAACTAAAAGATACATCGAAATCCATTTTGACCTAAAGTTTCCTTTCAAAATAGTGGAAAGTTCGCAAACACTGTAACCTTATGTCTTTAATAATAACCGATTCACCCATGGTATGACATTAAAAATGGGATACATTGTACAAGATCCATGAGCTGTTACCAAAGAATTGGGATCTTTTATGAATACGAGGCATATCCACAAAATAAGACTACTGAGACTCTGACGCTCTGTGACTTTTGTTTTCGACAAAGTTGGCAACACCGCATTCAAGGTCAAGGTATTGGACGCAGAACGCGTGCTCATTTGCCTCAGTCAGTTGAGAGCTGTTGTTGTGGTGGCGTGTTGAAATTAGTCCCGCCATTGTGAATCCCACCAGCTGTGAGGTGAGGAGCGTAATCCGATTTCTTCTTGCAAAGGGAAAGGCGCCGTTCCAGATTTTTTACGAAATCAAAACTGTTTATAGGGAAGGTGTGATGAATCGTGAATATAAAGCTGGCAGAACGAATTTTCAGGATGAACAAAAGAGTGAGCATCCCTCAATCGCGACATATGCCGCTGGCCGATTGACTTTGGATGAGACGAGCACAGTGTTCCCACAAATCTCCAGATCTCTTTTGCATGAATTCGTTACTAAAACCCTGAAAACACTACGGAGGGCGATAGAAAACAAAAGAAGGGGAATGTTAACGAAGGAATGTGCTTGTTACATGACAATGCACGTCCCCCATATAGTCAATGCCACAAAGCAGCTATTGGGTTCATTCGGTTGGAACCTTCCGATTTTCATCTTTTCTTTTTTTTTTTTGAAGGTGTTTGTAGGCGGAAAAAGGTTTTCTACCAACCATGAAGGCCACACTGCCGTGAAACAATAACCCGAGAGGTGGCGGAACATTGTTTTCAGAAAGCTCATCCTTCGGCTCATAAAGTGTATTGAGGTTGAAGACGATTACATCGAGAAATAGTGTTTGAATATGTAAATTTTTCATAAATAAATATACTGCCTTTTAGTTTTTTTTAAATTGGGTAGTCTTACTTCTTACTTTGTGGATATGCCTCGTAACTCATACAGTAGGTAGTTTGATTATAAAATCTAGAAATACTGTTCCAAAAAGGATGCTATACGAAAAGGATCCAATTTTTGTGATAACTCGTACACCTTGCATTATAACATTTTAGCTGGCCAGACGACACTGTGAAGCAGTTTTTTGCTAGTAAACAAATAATTATGAAATGAATTACCTTTTTTTGCGATTCCAATGAAGCTAATCTGTTTCTGCTGTCGAAAATAAAGAAAGCAATGAAATTAAAGCATTTTGATGACTTGAAAGATATCAAGAGTAATTTAATAAGAGCTTGAAAACTGTTTCGCATTACTTGCTCCTAAATTGTTATGAAGATAGAATTAGTGCAATGGTATTAGACTGTTTTGAAAGTAATTACATTGATATTCACCAATAACTTTTATAATGTATTGTGTAATTATGTAATGTATGTATTCAAATATAGAAAATAAAAATTTAAATTAAAATTAAAAATGTTCTTATATTTCTTGAAAACAAAATGGATTGACTTGATAGAGTCAGTTGATCAAGAGACATATTTTCAGTTTTCACAGTAACGTGAAAAATACTTTAATCTTTATTGTGCAATCACACACATTGTAATTGCAAATGCTTCGCAGAGACTGATAATGAGGCATCATTAGGATACAAAAAAAAATAACTTTTCTGTACTACAAGGAATTTGTGTAAGGTCTATGTTAAGAAAAAAATATAATATTAAGTCTTTCGGCAGTAGAATGAAAAGAAATCTGGTCAAGTTATACATTTGCACAAAATAATAATAATATAATAATAATAATATCTCTACATAAGTCGGAAACTTGTGCGGGAGAGGAGGCGGCATATTATTTTTACGCAGGCCGCATTTGCGCCCAGGAACGACTTATGTTGGTAGGCCCTAACCACCATTCAGTGGAACCTGGAAAACCTCATTAATTAGGAGGGTGGTCAAATGCCAACCGGTATTAATCTCTCACATTGACCCAAGCCAACATTCTCCACCCTACCACACCTGCACAGAGGGTGCCAATTCTCCGTAACATAGCTAATCTACGGTCTACCGGCCGCGGGAATCGAACCCGGACAGAAATTTGCGCACGATTTAAGACCGACATAATGCATGGTAATATTGATAATCCCACTTTTCTTTCATTATTATACCTATTTGAATGTACCAATATTTATCAGCTAGAATCTGTAGAATCTTTAATCTAGAACTTTTTCAACTATGAACTTCTCTTTTTGTTTTGTTTTAGACATTATTTTTATTTTGTTTTTATTGTGCTGTATTGTGTTCTTTTTGTACATACATATATACTCTGTAATAGGGCTTTGTCTGTTGAGTATTAATTGCATAAATAAATAAGAAAAATGGAGCTTTCACTTAAACCGCATAAATTGCGCAAATTTTTTGTAATTTTACCAATTGTATAAATTTTCTAGTTTAGGAAATTCCAATAGTGTACCTTAAAACAGAAACCAAGAATAATATACCTACATTACCTACCTTGTACTAGGCCCAAGTAGTACTTGAACGGATTTTTCTTGACAAAAACCAAATATATTAACTGCATAATTATCAACTGGTACAGAAAGACTCCTAAAATGACTGTGGCTATAAACCATCCAAGTTGGGATATGACTAGCACTATATCAGTTACGGAGAGAATTTTTCCAGCTATCACGCTACTTATGCCTATAGGGGTTAGCCAAATCACTCCTGTTACCATTTTCATTACTACATCGAATATCACAGAAAAAAATTCTATCACTATTTTACCCTTTGATCCAAGAGTACCCAAAATCGTTCCGAATATGAGGCAGAAGAAAACTATGCCTAAGGTATTAGTACCAGCTCTAAAAATAAAAATTCATTATTCTTTATACCAAAGTCAATAACGATTACAAAATTAAACATTTTAGTTTTTTAATCTGAATTTGAGTATATGGATAATCCGAATTAAGTTCGTCCACGCTTAATATCACTACAGGTCTTAAAAAAGCATATTTTTGCGCTAGATTCTTCAGCTGTTGGAATCTTTCTCGAATTTCAGCAGTTACTCTGTCTATTGAAGAAAACATTGTTCGCCTCAAGTCATCTTCATACGATAACTCAACATCTTGACTTCCGTCGCCAAATATAATGCTTCCTCCTGATTCGTCTTGGGGGTTCGAAAGAAATTTCAAGCTGTTCACATAAACTTTTAGCATATCTTAAAGCGTCATCCACGAATTCCTCTCGTTTTTCTTCTAATACAGTCTGTAAAGCACTTATTTTCTGAGCACATTGATGTATATTTAGTCCCTCTGTTTGCAAATAATTTTGAGCATCATTGACTTCACGCAGTACCGGTTGCCAGAAGCCAAAGTAACATAAAAACGAATATGATTGCATAGCGACTAATAAACTTCCTGCATCTATCCGTGTGTTCAAGCTTTCATTCGTTTCCGGTACAGTTAAAGATTCTTTGTAATGATGTCTAATGGAATTTACAGCATCACCTCTAGCGCTCCAACGTGTGTCCTGAACCCTCTTCAAACTTTTTCCTGTGGCTGCAAGAAGAACTTTCCACCGGTGCGTCGACGTAGAAAAAAAGTGTAGCAGCGTTCTAGCGTACCAAAGAATGTAACCGAATTTATACTGAAGCTGCATGTAGGCAAACTAGGTTTAGTGAATGGTTTGAGCAAGGAACAAATTCGGCGTTGGGATTGATATACTTTATACGTTGTGGCATCCAGCCATCGTGGCAGCATTATCGTAAGCTTCCTAGCACTTTGGTAGCACTCTACTCTGCTTCACCCCGCTCCCCACGCCTCGCTGTCTCATCCGCGCTGTCCAGCTTCGCTCGTGTCAGCGCGGCGCGATTTGGAATTTGAAATAGGATTTCGCCATCCAGCCATTCAAAAGGCTTATTTCGACATCTTGAAGGACATCCCGGCTGAGGATCTAACACTCATTCGATACTTATGCTTTTAGGCAGACTGTGCAAATTGCTGTATCGAGTCAGAAGGAGACTATTTTGAATAAAACAAATCGCTTTTGCCACAAAACTTTATGTTGTTATTATTTTTAAAAAGTCCTGTTTACTTTGAAACGCACTTTATATTAATTTAAAATTGCAAGAAAATTTTCTAAAACTTTCGTTCATACAATTTGTTCCTAAATATAAAGGTAAAAAGGATAAAGGGGAGAGGGATAAGCTAAGAATGAAATGACCCTCTACAATCCAATATCAGCTACTAGTTAAATAAGCGACTGGGCTCTTATTAATTATTGATTACTTGATATATATTTCTTTTATTTTATAATATTTTAATAATCATCACATACTAATAGCTTTAAACAAAATAAAAACTTTTTAAAGACAATTTAGAATAACGCTATGTTTTCCTAATTTCATCCCAAATTGGCATTTAAATAGAAGGTACCTACCACGAAAGAAACCAAAAACGTTTTAAGTTTATACTTGCCGAATTAATAAAAATATATTATAGTTAAAATCAAGCTTCCGTTTGCACCCGCAGAAACCATTAATTTAATGTAACTAAAAATTTGAAGAATCTGAAAATGGAATAAAAAATGTATTCCGTTCAATAATTACATCATTAACGTTAATGTTTTCTTTCATTTCAACAACAGCGATAGTATATTTAAAGAAAATATTTTCATTTTCATTTCCTTAAAATAAGTTGGCTCATCCGATAAGAATATTTATTGAAAGAAGTACGAAGTATATCAGAGAATTACATTTTTCCGAGGGAAATTTTATTTTCTACGGAAAATTATAATACATTAAAAATTATATAGGTATAAAAGTTTAAAAGATGTCTCATTCTTAAAACTTACCTATACTTTATAATTCGTACAGTTACTTCTGAAGAATCCAAAGCACTGTTTTCTGGATTGTACGTCTTGACAGAGACATTAACGTAGTCTGTATGGGCCTGAAATTAAGTAACATGCAACTACTTTTTGTAGTACGAATCTATTCAGAAAATAACCAAACTTTTTGAATTATACGCTAATGGAGATTTTTAGTGTCATGCGGTTGGCAGCATTGCGTTGCGCATAAGCTCCTCAATAACAACATGTTCATGGTTCGTTGTATTGTTGATATCTCATTTAGTTTTCGTGATATTGTTATTTGAGTGCAACGTGTTTAAGTGTTAGTGGTGATTTTTAAAATGTGTGATTTTCTGGAACAACGATGCTAAAATTTTGCGTAAAACTGGAGAAAACAATCACTGAAACGTTTCAACTTTGAAACAAGCTTACAGAGATGATGCGCTGGGTCGTACGTAGTATTACAAATGTTTTTCACGATTTAAAAGTGGTCAGTCAATTGAAGATGAACCTCGACCAGGAAAGTCTTCGGCTTAAACTGATGACTCCCACAATCAGAAAGTCAAATATCTGGTGCGTGCAAATCTCCGATTGACTATCAGAGAAATTGCAGAAGAGGTTAGCTTCTTAATTGGGTCATGCCATAAAATTTTTGACTGAAAATTGGACAGGCATCGAGTTGCAGCAAAATTTGTTCCTCGTTTAATGATCGAACAACAGAAAGAAAATCGTGTAGACGTTTGTTGGCAACTCCTTGAACAATCCAATGACGATGAAACATTCATTCAAATGATCATAATTGGAAACGAAAGCTCGGTTTATGGCTACGACATTGAGACGACGTCCAACGTGAATATGATACTCACTGTTTTTTTCGACATTAATGGAATTGTGCATTTTGAATTCTTACCTCAAGATGAAACGGTGAACCGTATGTACCTACTATCAAGGCGTTTTACAACGGTTACGTGAAAAATCTGCAAAATGACACCAGAGTTGTGGTTCTTGCACCATAACTATGTGCTCACACGCTTAATCAATCAATCAGTTCGTCAATTTTGTGCAAGAAATCATATTACTGTCCTTCCTCACCCTTTTACTCGCCAGACCTAGCTCCTAGGAATTTTTTTTATTTAGGAAATTAAAATTAGTGCTGAAAGGACGCCGTTTTCAGATTTTTGATGATATCAAAGCAAATTCGTCACAGACTTTAAAAGTCATTTCAAATGAAACTATCCAGGACTGTTTCGCGAAATTGAAACACCTCTGGGAAAAGTATGTAAATAGGGGAAAGAAGTATTTTGAAGGAGACAAGGATCAATTATGTATAAAATTAATAATAAAATTTAAAAAAATCAAGATCGGTTATTTTCTGAACAGACCTCGTATATTCCCTGAAAATTAAATTCGTAATAAAAACATTTGAATATACCTACTTGTTGAAAGGTTGCTTGAAAAATATTGTCAGCAACGATGTTTCTAAAAATAAAAAAGCGACGTAAACGACACATTGTTACATATTAATTAAATCTCCATTAAAAAATAATACCTCTGCTCCGATTATTTTGACAAAGGATCCTGAAAATACCTTCCAGAATTGTGATAAGTTAATTTACTTGCTACCTTCAATCCTTATGTAAAAATATAATGTAAAAAAAAGATGGATAAAAATTAATGGAAGTAGTTCATACAAAAATTTGTCGGAAAGCGGTTTGATTTCAAGATATAGTGTATTAATGTTAAAAAAATAAACTTGTGTGTTAATCATATCTCGGAAATCTACATAGAAATTGTTTTCAAATTTTTTATGATAAATAAAAGAAACAGCTGTTTCACTACAAAAATCATGGGCGTAACCAATCGGGGGAGGGTGAGTCCACGGCACCCCTAAACACTAGTAAACTTGAAAAAGCACAAAATTTGTATTAATTACAAGAGTGTGTGGAAATAAAATTAAATGTATGTTTTTCTACAAGGTTCGTTGCCTCCTCTACAAGTTTTAGCGCCTCCCCTCCCTCGGAAAAGTTCCTGATGGCTACGCCCATGACAAAAACGTTTTGTTATTTATTCATAAAATTCACCGTTTTAAAGAATTTTTGTTCAATATTGTCTGGTTTCCAAGTTTAGAAAAAAATGTTAACTTAAAGTATTTTTTATGATATTAAACTCAGCACAGGGTATTTTGTAAAAAACATAACAATCAAAAGTGTGATTGTGGTTTATTTAGGACCCTGTATATCACCTCAAGTATATAATAAAATCGCATTTTTAAGATTACAACAGTGTAATAAGGTTCGATTGGTCTATCTCTAATGGCAAGAAAGATATTAATACTCGCTAACTAATATTTGTAAAATTCACAAATATTTTTCTGTATAATATACAGGGTGACCGGAAGCTAAACCGATAAACGAAGACAGCAAATTCTAGGAATGATTTCATATCGATTTGACATAAAGCGTCTTATCCAAAAGTACTTCCTAAGGTAGAGCTCTTCGAGAATGGCCCTTGAACATTCTTTTTTAATTGTTCAGATCACTGTTTATCTAGAAGGATCAAATTTAGGTTATGTGTTAACTCTTATACGGACAGCCTCATGATGATCTTTTAATTGTAACCATAGGCATTTGAGAGGGTCAACTGATATTTTTAATTATACTTTCTACTTTCTACTTTTTGTATTTTTAATATGAAAATCGAAATCTTCAGAGTATTAATAAAAACAATGTCCAAAGAACTCTACCTACCTTAGAAAGCATGGATAAGAAGTCAAATAACGTCCGAAATGCTTCGAACTGTTCGTTCGGAAGTGGAGAAAAGGTTTTAATACTGCGAAGCGAAGTGAAACCAATTTGAAAATTTAATAAAGTAACATTCATTGATATTTTATCTTATTCTTTAAGTGATGATTTTATGGTCATACCCAAATCAAAATTTAAAAAGTCGTATGTCGTCGTGAACAGAATTGAAAAAGCTTTAAAATGAAGTGTCACTCAACTTAGGGTGCCATTTAAAATTTAAGGGTATTTTACGCCCCTGCCTAAGGGGTAGTTTCCAAGACACCAAAACTTACTCGATCACGTGTCCCCCTTGAAAAGACAATCAACGTGTCTCAGGTATTCTTTGTTTTTTTTTAATTCCGATATTTCCCAGGTGGGAAGTTTTAATTGGAACACCCTGTATAAGGAGATACTGCTTTAAAAACTAAAAATGAAAATCCTAATTTTTTAAAATACTGTTATATTAAAAGAAAAATATATTTTAATATATACCTAATTGTTTCCTTCTACCCTACAATTGTGTAAGTAGGTACTATAGAATAAATTATATCATCAGCGCACTTGACTCACTTAACTGTTATTCAATTCACTTTGCTATAAATAATAAGATTGTAAATCCCAAAAATAACTTACCTCATAAAGGTAAAAGCCTTACAAATATTTTATAAGCAACACATTATGTATCGGTCTGATTGAAAAGCTTCCTAGAAATACTTACTTCATAACCGTTATTCGATTTGTTCATTTTATTTTTAATATAAGTTATTTTTGGACTGTAGAAAATTCTTGTAACAATTAATAATACATTTCGGTATATTATTATTTTTTCCCAAGTTATATGCATATTTAGCTAAGTCAACCAGATTCAAGTTACTATTTATTTTTTAAATAAGAATAATGACAGAGTATTTGATTAAGAACTGAATACAAGTTACTAAACGATTGCTAAGTTCAGAATAAAGAGATTGAGTCAAACATGTTTTAATTTTCAGGATATTAAAGTTCAAAGTATACAACTATGTTAGACGTGGCTATAGTCCGTATGATATTTGTTGAGAAAAAAATTCAAGAAGACCCCTGCATCACTTTTCTTTGAAATTCTATCTTAAAAAATATTGTACGGATTGTATCTACATCATAAATTTAGTAAAATATTTTAATTTGGATCCAAACTTAGACTGAACAACCAAAACAATTAAAATGGGCACCAAGAGCAAAAATTAGTAGTAAATAATCTCACGCGTCGTCGGTACGTCCATGGTTAAAATTGAAAATAAAAACCACTTTGCAGCGGCCAACTTTGAACGGCCTTAGCTTGCTTAAACTGAATTTTACAACTTACGTGCACAAAAACTTTTTTCATGTTTCGACCATAACAATACTGCCTTCAGAATATTTAATAATTTATTATCAGGCTTACCTTCCCAAGTCTAATAGACTGTCTAGAACCGTACTGGCTCTAGTTAATTCTGTCTCTTCCTTCAAGACCGGTTTTAATCCTGTGTCTCCAGGATGAATTATAAGCACTAGTGCAACTCCCAATACAGCATTGACCACGGAAGTACAAAAGAAATACAGTAAAGTCCTTAAGGCTATCCTTCCATTTAGGCGAGCATTGAGACTAGCACTTCCTACCACCAAACTGGACATTATTAATGGAAGGATTATTAATTTCAAGACCCTCATGAACAGTTCTCCGGGATAGGACAGTAGTAAAATTGAGTTCTCCGAGAGATTTGCAGAACGCAAAGAGAAACCTACAACAACATGATATATATATATATA